GAAAAAGCAACACATAGGAACTTTCTGGTTTACTTGGTAGTTACAAATGATTCAGTTAGTCTTAGTTGTGTTTGGTAATTAAAACAATTATTGTTGAATTAACACAGCACCCTGGTAAAAATTTTATTATTAAATACTGCAGCATTAAAATTGGTAAATATGGTGACCCAAAAACAAAAATATATATATTATAAAACCCTAAGGACATTATCAAATGGATCATTGCATCTATAAAACTGTTGTTACATTGTGTTTTCGACTTCAAATTATCTCAAGTTAGAAAATAATATGGTGAAATGCATTTTATTCTGTATCTCTTTACAGAACATTGTGGAAACGCATCAACACAGGTGAAGTCATTCGTCTTGGAAACAACGACAGAAAGGAAAGTTTGAAGTAGCAGAGGGAGAGATGAAGATAATCCTTATAAAATGGAGATACTTTTGTAAAAGGGAATTCTACAAATTTAAACCTTGTACATATAAAATTTATTTATTATTTTGAGTATTAAAAATATTTTACAGTGTCTATAAAAATGACTGACTGAACACTAAATCAAATGACTTGAGCTCTTTAACTGTCAACTTGCAGCAATTTTTTTTAAATAAAATAAGATTACAAACTGAGTGTGTGTACTGGTATCCCAGTACTTTTGCTGTTTGTATTGATGGTCACTTCAGTATGAGAAAGGGAATAGTATTTGGTAGGTCTGAAAACTACACCTAGATCTGAAAACGACACCTAGTCAATCAGAGCAAGTTTCTGTCTAGGACTGTTGCACATGCCTTGGTTAAAAGAGGGTGATTCAGTTTCTGCGAGAAATAATTTTTCCTCACGCAGTTCTTGACACAGTGTGAAATAGATCTAGTGGACTTGTGTTACATTCCAATAGGACTTTTTTGCTGTGGATTTTTTTGACCCACCCAAAAGAGGGACTGATAATAGGGTAAAATAACTCAGATCATGAACAAATTTCTTCCAGCAGACAGTTGTCATTTTCCAAACAGTAAACTGCCATGAACTGACAAGTCTATCAATTCAGATAAATGATGATTTCAGCAAAGCTGCTATCTATAAACTCCACATCAAACAGGTTTACACCATTTCCCCATAGCTTTCAGCATCAAAGGCTTTTCTTGCTTTCTTCAGTTCTTCATTCATTGTCAAGAGGTCCTGACAGAAAAGATTGCAAAAATGCTCAAGGGAAGTAGATAAATGTAATCCTAAATATGTTCCCAAGGAAAGACAAACTCTATGGTAATCAGTGGTACTGACTGAATAAATTGAGACTGTGGTAGTCACTGGGTGAAGATGGGGAACAAATTGCAAGGGTCTGGAAAGAAAGAAACCCTTTCCCAGACTCCTGCATGTTTTTCTTTTTTTTGCCTCTACTAACTGAGGGCCTGGTGCAGACAACAGCTTTAAAGATGAGATACAACTCCTTATGAATTGAATGTTAAACTCTCTCAGTCTGAATAGTGAGAAATTTTCCTGAATTAAATTATGTGATTACTGTGGAACTTCCATTTATGGAACACCCCTACTCCCAGAAAGGAGTAGGGTATCTACTTTGTCACACATAGTTTACAGATTCAGAAGCAATTTAAAGTTAGTGTAATTAAGAATCAAAGCCTGTGTCCCTTGATGGACAGTGTTCTGTTCCATCCTACCATTTGGAAACAGTGCAAAGAGAATCCACAAGTGTTAACACATTCTGCTCTGCTTTTCTGAGTGACAACTTCTGTCTCTCATTGAAAGGAGATACATGCAGCAGATCAGGGTTCATGCATACATTTCCAAATTCCTCACCTTGACTCTGGCATATTTCTTAGGATCCTTTCTGATCAAAAAAACAATATCTTCTACATGCACCTTTCCCTTTTTACCAACATCCATGGCCTTAAGTGTCTAAACAAAACAATGTAAACTTATTAGGTATAAAGTGGTCATACCAAACTGCTAATGAAACTTAACAAAATTAATTGCAAGGGGGGTATTGCTTGTTATAGACTGGCATCTTATTGAGGGGAAACACTACAATATTTCTGGTTACTTTGTGTTATTGAAACTGGCATAGGCTGAGGCACTAACAAGACAAGAGACTCCTAGAACACTGAAAATTGTTTTTGCTTTCTGTACAGGTTTCTTTTGAATCATGACCTTAGTTAAATAGCAATGGTGTAACAAATCATTAACATCTTTACCATTTCTGTGATGTACTCCACAACAAGATCTTCCAGTAAATCTACAGATTCTGTGAATGGTACTTGATCATCACCAAAACCAAACATCATACATCTCACTACAAGAAGAAGACGAAGAAAGACAAAACATAATTTGGGATTGATGTACCAATGCCCAGTGAGCCTACGCAATGGCTGGGAAGGAAACTAAACAATAACCACCAAAATGTATAGCATTCTACACTGAAAATAATTAATGTTTCAATTGCTCATTGCAATTATAAATTTGTTAGAAACCCCATATTCTGATGGGTTCTCAATTAGGTTGACCGGTAAGATTTCCACACAGCACTGTGCTAGCTGTTGTCCCTATGCCAATCTTTTGTTTTGGTCATAATGGTAAAAATAAACAATTGCAATTTGTTTTCTTTATCCAAGAACAGTATGCATCCCTTACAGGCCTGATTTTTTTTTCAGGTCTGATTTTCGCTATTGCATAAATAGCATTCTCTACTGTGAGGATCGTGCATCATACGTATACTATAACCGCAGTTCAAAATATATGAACTTCATATATTCATCATATCTGATTTATCATCACGGGTTTATTACGAATCAATTTAACAGCCTGCTCCCAGTTGGCTTGTTAGCTCAATTGGTAGAGCGCTGCACTAGTATCGCAGAGGTCAGTGGTTCGAATCCCGTACAGGCCTGATTTTTTTTTCAGGTCTGATTTTTGCTATTGCATAAATAGCGCTCTTTATTGCGAGGATCGTGCATCATACGTATCGATAACCGCAGTTCAAAATATATGAACTTCATATATTCATCAAACCAGTATGCATTATGAAGTCTAGGGCTATGCGGAAATCTTATTAGTTGACAACACCAGCAGTCTGATACACAAATTATGGAGAGAGCAGTGAGCGTTATTTCAGTGCATTTTGGATTTATGCTCTTAGTCGATAAACCTGGCAAACTATCTCTGCATGAGCAGATAGACCGAACTTGACCCGGCCGACTGAAAACCTATGCCCACATTCTGGGTTTTACTTAAGTTTGAAGGAAGAGTATGTCGCTGAAAATTAGACAAATGTTGGTATTGTGTAATCAGTCCACCATTCATTTTGTTTAACAGTCCATTTTGTAACTGACTTACATTCTTTATGAAACAGTCTTTTTCTTTTCCCTCCTACTTCTGCGTGGACTGATTCAGATTCCTCCTAACAAAATAAAAATAAAAACAGAATATAAAGACTCCAAAAATATTACAGTCTAATTCTTTTCTTACAAGAACGAATGGCTCTATAGTCCCTGTATACTTTTGATCGTTGGTATTACATTCTGCAATAGTGAGAGAGAAATCGGAACGACAATTATTAATAAGGACTTGAATGAATGGGTACGGGAGTAATCAAATTTTAGAGTATGAGGCGCTATAAAAATTGCAACTGACTAAATCAAGCATAAAAGTTGTTCATAATTTACATTGAGGGTTAATGGCGAGGTGGAAGTATTGATAAATTTCATTGTACCTCAACTTCGTCTTCCATGTCCGCCATGTTGAGCTCGTTGCCAGTCTTACAGCGTCGCTAACGTCCGTAATTCCCAGTCTCAGCGAAAACGCGGAAATAATTCCCGCGCAATTGCAAATTACCTTCTGTCGTGACTTCGCTTGCTATTAAACCATGCAAGCAAATTTTGTTTGGTAAGAATCCACTTGGTTCAACATGTTGGAGATCAAGAGAAAAACTGTAGCTCGGTCGTTTTAAAAAAAGTCCTTAAAATTTCATTTTTTCTCTACACCGTTTGTACTTTGGCTGACTCTGCGAGCGGTTGTTCTCACCTAGCGTAATTTAAAGCGCGAGTTACTAAAAATTGACAGATAAAACGCAACATCGGAAAATGTTTCGCAATTCACCCGAAAGAATTCACTGGGAAGGTGAACTTGTTCGGATTAACTGGTAGTCTGCCGCGAGCGAGCAAGATGAAACGCATCTTGTGTTTTAATTGGCTCTCTGGCGGGCGAAGATGTGTTGCGCCAGTTGTCATATAGTGTCGCCAGTTGTCAAATTGTGTGACTTCTTGGGAACTTCTTCTGGCTTCAAAGTAATGTTTTCTTAACACTTTTGGCAACAACAGAGCCACCAAAAAGTATTTAGATGGTCAAAAACAAAGAAAAGTAGGACGAGTTTCACTAATTTATTTTGAATTTTTAGAGTGTATTTACACGTAGTGGAGAACCTTCAGAATTCTTATTCAGACTTAGTTCTATAAATAAGTCGCACGAGCTGTGGTGTTTTTCCTTTTTTAAATCAGAAGTATTTTGAATAACACGAGCGAACACGTGTACAATCTGCCTCTAAATATTCTTCCAAACGAAAACAACTTGTTCTTGCTTAGGATGTTAATTTTCCGGGTGGAGGGGGGTGAGTAGTCATCTGCTAAGTTCAGGAGCAAATTTAATACTTATCCCTCCATCATTCTATCTTGGCTCATAAGAGAGTCCCAGTGTATATCTCTTTCCTCAAAGTTTGTATCTGGCCCTGCGCCGTGGGTTCTTTGGCTTAATGTCCTGTGATGGCAAGGGTTTGTTTACACAAGCGACGAGAAATTCTCTGATGTGTTGATCCAGCTTTTGCCGTTCCCCTCCTTCATATGAAGGCAGTTTCACACCAGCGTATCCAGCAAGTTGCTACCAACTTTCCTCAGTCATTGCCTTCAACTCGATGCCCGCAGCAATCATCTTGTGCATTCCCTCTAAGCCGTTTGTGATATCTTCCTTGAACTGCGGCGTAGGCGGCATGTCAACTTTATACAACTGGCACAGTTTAATGTTGAAGCTTACACCATAGGATTAACAGTACAAGCTGTAGAAGTCCACTAAGTCGTGTGCGCATTGTTTTTTCGTGAGGCCAGAAATTCTGTCGTGGTGTTTAGTTGATCTATAGCACGGTTGTTTGTTCATGAACAAGGTAACGCTGCCTCCTCTTTGATCACGTACCAAGCGCACAGCTTCTTTAAACTCATCATCCATCAGCATAAAATAATCCGCTTGAATTGTCTTGCGGCGTTCGCCATCGAAGCAATTACCGTATCTGGCATGAAAAATCACTCTTCCTTTTTGGTCGGTCAAGCGAACATAGATGACTATAGAGGCGGCATAATCAGATCTCGGATTGGCTTGCTTCGCCATTTTACCAACGCGACATTTCCATTTTTGAAGACATTTGTAATCTATGTTACCTCTTGTTCTCTCCGTGACGTGGTAGAACATGGCACAGAACTGAGCTTTAGTGATTGCGAGCGGATTACGTCCTCCAAGTCTATGATTTTCTCTGTGGTCGTGAACAAGACTGGCCTTTTCACATTCCTTAGGGGCTTTCATCTGAACACAAGCTCAGTCTTGTGAGGAAGATAAATGCCGATAGTCAAGAATCTCCACTGTATTACAGTCCATTGTCATGACAAAAATACGATTTTCGAAAACAATAAAAAGGTGCGATGAAGAAGTCGGTCCGGCGACTATGTTTTGAGGTGCTAGCACTAAGCTGTTTGAGGGATTCACTACGTTTTCACATTTTTCTATGGAAGTATGTCCATCTCTGATTCCCACCAGGCAACTGAATTTCCTAACCAGTCGAGGCGATCCCTCAAAGTTGTACACCTTAACAGTTTTATCCCCCATATCTGTCGTAACCAGGTGGCTGTTTGGTGCGAAGCAGATATCGTAAGGGTTCAATAGCTCTTCAGTAATTGTTTGATAACTTGAATCATGAACATCTCTTGAACTGCGGGTCAATTCAATTCGTCCTTCACTTCTCTTGACAACAGCCAATCTTCCATGCTCAGAAATTTCCGGTCCTATTTCGCTCGTCATTAGGATCTTTGAGCCGTAACAGCGGATTGACCTTGGTGGTCAGAGAATCAGTGTTTCAGCTTTACTGCGAAAGCAGAGATATCCGGCAGAGAGACCATGATAATAGACAGATTGATGAATTGATGAAAACTTTTCTACTTTAGGTCAACGCGGTGTTTATGCTAACGTATTTAAATCCAATATTTCACCCGACTTATTTTGCTACCGAGACAGTTTCTTGGAAGACCGAGTTTTTCTGAGTAAAAGTGATGTAGCTCCATCGGAAATGGCCATTCGCGTCACTGTACCGCCAATAAATTGCAAATGTAGCTGTTCAAGTACTCATCTTGCCCGGCGGTCATAAAATAAAATTACGTAACATACCGAGAGTGGAAGCAAATGATTGGTCTCCTCATAATGCAGCAATCCTGAAACAATCCTGAAACAAGCAAGGTAGAGGTGTGCCCACAAACTATCCTATTGGTGGGGAAAAGATCGCCTTGTTTGGATGAGACCTGCAGGAAAATCATCCTGAAACAATCCTGAAACAAGCAATGTGTCTGTGCATGTATAGTTCTCTTTAAAAGCTTTGCCTCCCTCTTAAGGTAAAGGTGTGCCCACAAACTATCCTATAAGTGAGGAAAAGATCGCCTTGTTGACGAAAGACCTGCAGGAAAATCATCTGCTGTCATTTTTTGACGTCAGTTCATTTCTCGAAAAAGAAGTGGGTTAAGAACCCGTTGAAAATCACTTATGATTTAAAACGGTTCGAAAAGAGTGTTTAGGATGTCTGCCAAAATGATGACTACGATAGATCTATAAATACATGAATATGAATCAGATCTTTAATTAACTGAATATAGATATTTCCAAAATAGTTTAACAGAGTCGATTCAATTTCCCGGGAAATCATCTCATCCACATAACATGACCGTTGCATTTATGCCAAGCGTTAGAGTAGAGCTCTTTAGTAAAGTAAAGCTTTATTCACACAGAGTAGCCCATTAAGCTCTAAGGCTGGTATCCATAGGGGGCCTGTTTCTTAAAAATAATTTACATCAAGATTTTCAATTATATATATATATATGACTAGATTTTTAAAACTACATTTACAGCCTAAAACTACAAAGCCAGAACACAATTAAGACCTAAAATAGTAGATAAAATATCAAAGTTAAGATAAAAAGAAATGTCTTGCTCAGCGGCAGAACGTTCGAATGTTTTCACTCTTCACAATGTTTATCAAAAATTTCTGCGCCAGTAAAAGGAAAGGTCCTTTTCCCAAAATTTTGTTTTACTTTTGGTAGGGATATCCTTTGTATTGATGTAAGCTAGAGAGAAGGCAGAAGGGAGAGGGTAGAGGCATCCAACAAGGTTCGGAAACTGAACAATAACTGCTGGTCTGTCATAGGCCCACTCATAATGACGAATTTAAGATTAAGAATAAAATTAGTTTCTTTAAACTACAAGCACAAAACAAAAAAGGCTAGTTGTACTCAATCTGACTTTTTAAACAACAGGGAAGATTTTCTCGGATGCCCTTTCTGACAAAATTACAGTACAGATTGAGCAGTAAGGTCTATGGCTCTTTAAATTTCTAAATCTAACTGAAAATATTCGGTAAGTAAATGAAACGGTGTTCCTTTTATTTTGGAAATAACTAGGTCGATGTATTGATCTAGTTTCTGACGATCACTGCCTTCATAGGCAGGTAACGGAATGTGTGATATCTCAGCTAGCGATTTCCAAGATTCTTCTCTCATTGCCAGCAGCTTAATACCAGAAGATAACATCATTTTCACCCCTACTCTAGCATTTACAATGTCTGATGCCAGGGATCTATCGACTGAGCTGGGTGACATATCGATCTTGTACAACTGACACAAATTTATAGTCAGTTTTACTCTGTAAGGTAAACAATAAAGATTGTAAAAATTGGTCAGATCTTGAGCACATTCCTTTACCTTGAGGTCCGTTTTCTTACCATGTCCTGTAGATTTATAGCAAGGCTGTTTGTTCATGAACAAGTTGATGTCTCCTCCGTTCTGATTTTGAAGAATTTTGACCGCTTCTCTAAAATCATCGTCCACTAGCATAAAATATTCTGCATGGGTCGTACTTTCGTAAGCTCCCTCGTAGCAGTTGCCATATCTGGCGTGAAATAAAAGTCGACCATTTTCCTCTGTTATTCGAACGTAAATCACAACCGTTTCGGAAAATTTCCTCCTGTCCCCTCTAATTCCAACATTGCATTTCGATCGTTCAAGACAAGAAAATCTTGTGCGGTTCGTTTCGGCTACGTGGTAAAACATACCACAGAACTGAGCTTCGGTTATTGCCATAGGATTGAACCCACCAACCTTGTGATTGTTTTTGTGGTCTTTCACTGAGCTCACATTATCACAAATCGATCTTTTGTCGAATTGCAATAATCGCCAATCTAGGGGAGAAGAAATAAGAAGGTAGCTGACAAGGCTAACCTTGTTCCAGTCTACGTTGACAAGAATTACTTCCGTTCTCCTCGTTATAAATAGTTGAGATAGAGGTCCAGGGCCAATGACTACCGTTACAGGAACTCCAGAAGTTCTAAACTTAATCATTCTAAAATCAGAGTTTAACTCTCGTACCATTAACCTTCCTAAGGTATCACGACAAACAACAATTTGATTTTTCAGTTGAAGATCACCTTTCAAGTCATATATTTTGAGTGTGTCATCGCCAATGTCCGAGACCACAAGGGCGTTATTTGGAGCGAAGCAAAGATCACAAGGCTTCAATAAACCCACAGCAATCCTTCTTGCCATCCATTCAATACCAAAATCGACATCTTCACCATAAATTTCTATGCAGTTTTCAAGTGTCTTTATGACAGCAACTTGTCCTTCTTCGGATATTGCCATTCTATCACTTTGGAGGCTTTGTACCATGCTTCGTGCCATCACAGCTGCGATTCGACGGAGATGGAGATGGCGAATGAGATATTATTCACAACTTCCACGATGGTCAAATCAAATTTACCAAACCCAAACATAACTATTTATCACGAGACTTGCCATTTTGATATATGTCCTTTCAACGGATCGATGAGCCAACCTATTTAATCAAATTCAGTTTCTCAGAAATTTGTGTGACGCCTTTTCTCGGAACAATAAGGGCGCGGACGTTTCTATTTATAACGTTACAAGCTTAGTGTGATCACGCAATGCTCACATATTGTCACGCCTAGGCATTATTTCCTTGCCGGGCCCGAGTCAGTCAAGCTCATTGGCAAAAACTCGCGATTTCGAATGAAGTTCGTTTAAAAGCTAACAAACTGTCCAAAATAAAGGGAATCTCGGTCTTTAACCGATCAAAAAAACAAACTTAAAAACTTCACATACTGCTTCAGTTTACAGTATAAGCACTTACAATGAAATATATGAAGTTCATATATTTTGTACTGCGGTATTAGATACATATGATGCACGATTCGAGGATCGTGCATCATATGTGTCTAACACCTGTCGGAAAAGTGACGTCAGCCTTGTAACCTCGCAACGCGAAACCAAGGGTGGTCTTTACGATATTGTGGGTTTGTAAAAGAATAGGCTAAGATCGACGCGATACGAAGCGTGTGACGACTAGAATAAAGATAGGAAAAAAAAAAAACCTACGCGAGCGACTAGTGTTGCTATACTGGGATTTCCAACACTAACTGGCACCTCCGACGGGACTGAGATCGAGACATGGAACTGGAGGCACTTCAGAAGAATTTGGACGCAAAACTCAAGCTTTTGGCGTACAAGCAAGAAAAGGGAAAGGGCATTGTGGACAAGGCAAACGCGACAACTATTGGGAGACACCGTGACGCGTTGGTGTGTTTAGCAAAAGAAGCGGACGAGATCAAATTAAAGATCGAAGAGAAGAAGATTGCAAAGGGTGAGCAAATGGACGAGGTATGTGCATGGAGCAATGAAAT